ATCCGGAACGCATTGGATCTGGATATATCAAAGGTGGACAGACCTCATACCTTGACGCGTCGATTCGCGAATTGGCCGTTTTCAGTTCGCGAGAGGGCGTCGCGGCCGTCATTTTTGCGGGTCCAGGTCCGTCGGTTTCGGTTCCAGGCCGTTTTCTCTAAAGGGAGGTTCATCCAGGAGAGGTTTGTCCACCGCCGAATAGAAGTTGAGCCCGCATGTGCCTGGCCTTCTACGGCATCCCGTGACGTCCTATGGCCCTCTAGCGCTGCACATGCCCTGGGGGTGGCCCGGTCCCCGAAGGCCCTCCATGGTCTCCGCCTGCTGGTCCCTAGCTTCCTGGGGCGCTTTATGGTTTTACGCGGCCATTGGAGCCGCGTGCGCCCATGGGCGCTTGGCTGCTTATAATCGGGAATGAAAGATCCGGGGCGGCAAAGAGGGGGGTGATGGCTATGGGGGGGGGGATATCATGCCGGGCGCCATGATATTTCCCCAGATTTCATCGCGCCTCTTCTCATTGCATTACGTCCCTGGCCCCCCCCCAAGGGCCGCGCACATGCCGCCAGCCATGATTTGCGCCCGCCCCTCTTGGACGCCCCCCTCCTGGCCGCCCCTGAAAAGAAGGAGGTCCGCGTACATGGATCCACGTTGGTGTTCGGACATACGCAGTGCGCGCACATTCATGTCACGACGATGGTTTCACGGACTGGGGGCCGTTTTCATGTACGTAGTTGGGCGCGTGCGTCCTCTGTGGGTTTCCCCATATGGCGACATATGGTTCCCGAGTGAACCCCATTGACTGCAGCCCACAGGTCGCACTTTCGAGGTCGGTCACGTTACGGCTGTGTTTGCTATTGTTCTGTCGGTTCTACCACGCACATGAAGCATGGCAAGCGGCGTTGGATTGAGGTTTCTGGCTTGTATGTAAGTTCTCCACTGGCATGAGATCTGGAGACACGCTAATAGTTCGCAGCAATGCCTGTCCGACCTTTGCCGAACAGGGGCGGGAACGTCAGGCCGCGCACGCCAGTGTGGTGGGTGGCTTGAAGCTCGGGACACGTCAGTGTGTGCGTCCTGGTTTTTGTCCGCAGCCACGCGGGTCAAGCCAACGCGGCGCAGGGCACGATGGGGCCATCTATTTTTGGCGGACGCCGTCTCCGGCCGTGTATCGGCACCGCATGGCGAACGGCGCCTTCCATGTTCAGATCGTCCTACTGGGGCCAAATCAAGGGGAAGATCAAGTCACGGACCCGCGTGGCGACGGACGCGAAGTACACATGTGATCAAGATGATGAGACTTGCACGACAGCCAGCCTCGGCAAATCAAGCCGAACACTCAGCGAGTTCGACGACGTGATGTGCTACACCAGCAGCGAAGACGTGCCAGGTGTGCCAGAGCTGCCGCATAGCCCCCGCACCTCAACGAGGCCTGGCAAGAGCGCGCGCCAGTCTTCGCCTAGGGCAGAACACAGAAATTGGACGATGAACGATTTCGAGATCGTGAAAACTCTTGGTAATGGTTACATGGGTTCAGTTCGTATGGTCAAGCTTGCCGATGGCAAAGACACCTCTTCTTATGCGCTCAAGATTATCGATAAAAGGCGCGCTGTGAGGGAGCACCAGGTGGCACGCGTGATGCAAGAGACGCAGCTCCTTGGGCTTGTCAGCCATCCGTTCGTCGTCAGATTGATGGGCACGTTCCAGGACGACGCGCTCCTCTTCATGCTGATGGAATGTGTTGATGGTGGTGACATGTTCTGTGCCATCGGAAGCGACAAGTTTGACGATAGGTGTGCGCAGTTCTTCGCTGCTGAGATCACGCTTGCGCTCGGACATATTCACAGTTTGGATATGTAATGGCCTTCGGTCAAACCCGCCACCGTGCCTGGGCGTAGGTCGCAGGCATCTTACGCGTCTCTTGGGACCTCGTGGGACACCTCTTACACCTGGAGGCTTCGTGGAGATTGCTTGGAGGACTCTTGGAGACCTTTTGAAGTCATACTCCATGATCTCATGGACCGTATTTGCTCTCGGAGGCAATTGGCCAATGTGAACTGATGGGTCAGTTCGCATTTCAGGCGCACTGTGTTTGGACAGGTCTTTGCGGCGGCAGGCGTGGCATGGCTCCATACGGGACATGATTGATTTGTTCTGCGAATGGCTCATCATTGGTCGTGTGTTGTTTGGAATGCTCGATGCGCGGATCCCCATGTATGCGTCTTTTTCCCTAACACTGTCCGCTGTGGCTGTCTGTGTGTGTGTGTGTGGGTCTGAGTGGGCGACGGGCACGACGACGACGGCGGCAGTGTCTTCGATGAGGGACGGCGGCGACGACGACAACTCACACACAGACAGGTGCGGAACAAGCCCCCGCCCCTCTCCAACCTCTTCCTACTGGTCACAGGGTATCCATTCTCGTTCTCCCACCTCCCTTCTTCCTCCTTCGGCGTCCTCCTCCCTCCTGCGTCCTCCCTCCTCTTCCTCCTCCCTGGCGGCCGTCACTCTTCCTCCTCCTTCGTCCGGCTCCTTCCTCGTGGTCCTCTCTCCTCCTCCGTCCTCCTCCCTACTCTCCCCTTCCCCCTTGAAAATTGCCCCACTTCATGTCACCATCCTCCGCTCTGCCTTCCTTTTCCTCATCGTATTAGCCGCTCCCGTCTATTCCATCTTCCTCCCTTCTCCGTCCTGCCGCGTCCTTCCTCCTCCCCCTCCTCCCCCTCCTCCTCCCTCCTCCGCGGTGGTTTTTGGCTGCCGTGCAGGGCTGGATAGCAGTATTGCCAATACCGTTTTTGAGTTTGAAGCTTCACACCCTGTGCCTCCCCACAGAGTGGGCCCCACACGGCGCTGCGGAGCTTGACGCCTCCTCCTGCCGAGTCCTCCTCCTCCTCCTCCTTTTCCCTTCGCCTTCTCCTCCTCCTCCTCCCTCCTCCTCCTGCTCCTCCTCTGCTCCTCCTCCTCCTCCTCCTCCTCCTCCTCCTGCTCCTCCCCCACGATCTTGCCCCGAACGGGCGAGCGTCACACCCTTGGCGCCCCCCCCCCCCCCCCCCAGCTGGGGTGCTGACGCCAGGGCTTCGCCCGAGAGACCTCCTGTCGGCCTGCTCTGGCAGGCAGAGAGGGGCCCGAGCCTCGAGCCGCTCCACCGGCGACGCGCCGGAGACGTCCCCGCAGTGCTGGCAGCGATCGGGCGAGTGCCCCCCTCACTGGCGCCCCCCCCCGTCTGGGAGAAGGAGGAGGAGGACGAGGAGGAGGAGGAGGAGGAGGAGGAGGAGGAGGAGGAGGAGGAGGAGGAGGGGGGGGCCCGCTCCTCGGTCGCGGGCCGAGGCGTCCCACTCGGTGTGGTGGGGGTTCGCCTCCATCTCAGTGGGCTCCCATGCCAAGAAGCGCCCTGCTTGCCTCCAGGGTGCCATGAGATTCTTGGCTTTCGATGGTTTTGCGATGGGGAGCGCGACGCTCCCACACCAGAGATCAGTGGACGTCCTGGGGTCTCAGGGTTGGGTTTCTTGTGGAAGGTTCCTTGTTGTCGGGCCCCTACTGTATTCCGAACCCAGAGGAGCCCGAGCGAGCACATGGGCGAACCGCTCCAGACATCCCTGCGATCTGGACGCGATCGAGCGAGTGTTCCCGCCCCTGGCGGCTCCCCCTTGGGGTGTCGACGCCAGCATCTCGCATGAGACACGCTCACACTCAGCTTTGAACCAAAGGAGTCCAAGCCACTACACGGGGAAACCCCCTGAGACGGCCCCACAATCGGGCCGCAACTTGGGGAGAGCTGGCGGCTCCCCATCGGGGTGCTGAAGCCAGTGCCTCACTCGAGACATCCTCGCAATTTGCCATGAGAGACAAGGCGTCCAAGCCATCAATCGGGCAAGCCGCCTGGGGCATCCCCACAATCTGGCCACAAACGGGGGGTTGACCCCAACCGAGCGCTTCGCTCGAGACATCCTCACACTCTGTTTTGAAGGCAAAGGAGTTGAAACCACCAAACAGGCAAACCGATTAAGACATTCTCACAATATCTGCGCGAACGAGGGAGTGCTTCCACCCCTGGCGGCTCAACATTAGGGTGCTGAAGCCAGCGCCTCGCTGGATGTATCCTCACACGTTTAGAGTGATGCGAGCCTGACTGTAAGTGGTTTGTGCGAGTGAGTAGTATGAATGACTCCGAGTGTATATGTTCCTGAGTGTGAGAAGTGAGTCTGAGTGTGAGCGTATCTGAGTGTGGCGCATCTGAGTATGAGTGCATCCGAGTATGAGTGAGCCTGATTGGAGAATCCGAGTATCAGTTTAGTCTGAGTGTGAGTATGAGTGTGAGTGAGTCTGAGTGTGAATGAGAGTCTGAGCGTTGGCGAGGAGGAAGCAGGCGGGAAGTATCAATGAGGGAGATGGAGGCATCACAGTAATAACAACCCTCCCTGTCCAGGATATAGGACAACATCGTGGGGCCATCCTGGGCGCCCTGGCGATCTCAGCGGCAATTTTGCGGCGGGAGGCTCGACATGCCAGTCTGAGTTTCTCCTTGGGAGACAACCTTGTGGGCCTCTTGGGCGCTGTTCGGGGCCTCCTGGAGCCGTCTTGGGGCAAGCTTGGGGGCATCCCAGGCCGCCTGGGGCGCTCTCGAGACCCCAAACAGAAAGGCTTGTCCAGTGAATTTGGCTCTGGGCCCGCCCGCGGGGCCTCCAGTGCGGTCCAGGATGTGCCCGGGAGCGCTCGGCGACGGGCCCACGGGCTTTCTAGAGCCGTGTTGGAAATGTGGGATCCCAGCCACGCTGTCCGAGGCCTCGGGGACAGCCATGCGAGTGACCACACAGGCCTCGTGGTGAGCCGCATGCAGCCCGTCCCTGGGGACTCCTCTGCCCCTCAGAGGGTGCTCGGTGCAGAGGACTAGCAGGGACCTGAGGGCATTCCATGCAGTGTCTACAGCACGGTGGCGGATCGCCCATCGTGACCTTAAGCCGGAGAACGTGGTGATCGACTCGCTTGGCCACGCGAAGATCATCGATTTCGGGATGGCTAAAGTAGTCCGGACAAGTACGTTCTCAGTGTGCGGGACTACAGGATACATGGCGCCTGAAGTATTGTCCAGAATTGGGCATGGCAAGTGTGTGGATTGGTGGGCGTTGGGCATCCTGATCTTCGAAATGCTCGCGTTCGACACTCCCTTCAGGGGGCGCACCTCGAGAGAGACTCACAGGAATGTGCTCAGTCGCGATCCGCGGTGCCCCCCGTACTTTGGCAGCGTGACCAAGGGCCTCATCTACCTACTCCTGATCAAAGAGCAGACGCTGCGCCTGGGCAGCGGCGCTGACGGCAGCGAGCGCGTCCGGAGCCACCCGTGGTTCTCCACCGTGGATTGGGACGACCTCCTCCAGCGAAGGCTTTGGGGGACGCCAACTGCACATCTCTCCGTCTTGCACCGAGCGACGGCGAGCGAGGGGGGGGGAAGTGAGAAGGAGAAGACCTTCTCAAAAGGCTCGGAAGTTCCCCGGCCTCCTGAGAAATTTTCGAAGCCTTCCCCGAAGACACACCACAGCTTCCCAGAAGGCGCGAGGGCTTCTGAGAAGTCCCGACGCCTTCTGAGACGGCCTTCTCCTTCTCGACCCCCCCCTGCTCGCCGCCGAGCCAACTGCACACTCTCAGTCGTAGACCGACCCCGTGGCCAAGCCAGCCTTGGGCCTCGGGACCGGTGTAGGGGCCTCCCCGGCCGAGCCACGGGGGCAGACGCAGTCCAGATCCTGATTCAAAGGGGCCACGTCGGGCTCGGGGAGGCCTCTGATTGTCGGGCCGTTCCTCACACTGTTGTGATCGTTTTTTATTCGTTGGTCTGCCTCCCTCTGCGTCCTTCCCCTGCCTGCTCTCTCTCTCTCTCTCTCTCTCTCCTGCTCTTCCCCCGGGATGTCGCCGGGTCTTCGTCCTCCACCCCCCCCCTCCTCTCGGCCGTCGTCCCCTGTCGCCCTCTCTCCTCCCTCCCCGGGCTCTGGGTGCGTCCCTGTCCCCGGGTGTCGTTCCCTCCTCTGCCCCCTGCTGCCGTTGCTCTCCCAGGTCGTCCACCTGTGGGCTTTCTGGCGAGAGGGATGTGCGTGACAGAGTTTCAGACGTTCCGTGCCCATGGAGGAGCCGGGGATGCCGAGAGAGTTCCGCTGTTTCTCGCATTTTTCCACTGCGTTCGGCGGCTGTCATGCCGGCGCCATTTTTCGTGCCCATGCACCTCTGACGTGCACGGCGTCTCTCTCTCTCTCTCTCTCTCTCTTTGCCGATCTGCGCGGGCTCTGGAACCCCCTAGTCTCGCCCATCCCACGCACTGTTGCAAACAGTCGCGCTAAGCAGAGGTCCGGAGCCAGACCCCCCTCTGCGCCCAGTGCGCCCAATGTCGAAACGCCGAGTAAGAAGACGTTCACATACCCATCGTTCGCTGAAAGTAGGTGCTTTTTGGATTCCCAGAACCCACTCTGCTTCAAGCGCCTTCCTGCTTCAACCATCGATATGGCTTGGCTGTTGTTTAGTGTTTTTCGGGGGAGCCCGAACTCAGTACTTCATCCGCCTTCCTGCTTCATGTCTGTACCTATACTCTGGCGATCGAAAACATGGATCAAGGGGGCGTGGATTAGCGACGGGTCCCAGTACCATGGGAAATCGCGGCTTTCCGCCGCCGAAAGAGGCGGCACTGGCCGCACTTTGGGGAGGGCACCTCCCCCGATCCATGGGTTTGGCGACCGCGCGCCAAATCCGTGGATCGCTAATCCATGTTTGCGCGCCCCCGAAGAGACGCCACCTTCAGCGAGGAGGTCCACGATGCCTCCCCGAGCTGTAGGCAGGACATGCCTCGAGCGCGAGGCGGGGACCACACCACCAGGGCGGCCCCTCCCTGGCTTTTGCCGCTGGTGGTCCGTGGCCCCTGGACGCCCCAACTCCCCCTCCTCCTCCTCCTCCTCCTCCTCCTCCTCCTCCTCCTCCTCCTCCTCCTCCTCCATCGGCCGCACAGGGTGGTGGTGGTGGTGGTATTGGTGGTGGTGCCGCTCTTCCCCGTCCCTGACGATGGGTGCTGACAGGTGCCTGAGGGGCGACCTTCGCATGGGACGAGGACGAGGATAAATCCGTTCCAGAGCTGTCCAGAACTCCCTCAAAAGCGTTCTGGAACGCTCTGAGAAGGCCGCGGCGCCCGAGACATCCTCCAGAGCCGCCGGACCTCAGAGATCCTCGCTTCATCCTCGCCCGAGCTTCTCCTCGTCCTGGCTTCGCCGTGGCCCTCCTGCGGAGAGGTGCACCTCGCCCTTCCTGCCGGGCGTGCGCGGCAGCAGCGGGCCCCGCCTGCGCGGCCGCCCCCGCGAGGGGGGGGCCGACGACCGCGCCGAGGGCGGCCTTTCCGAGGCGCAGCGGCAGCTGTCCGGGGGCTTCTGACGAGCGCGCGCGGGCACGCCGAGGGAGGCGGCCGGCGCGGCCAGCAGCGGGCCGAGGCCTCCCAGATGGGGTCAGAGGATCGGGCATCGAGATCGCTCGAGGTATCGAGGAGGAGGTCGAGGAGGAGATCGGGGAGTGGCTCGAGGAGGAGATCGAGGAGGAGACCGTGGGCAACGTTGGTCTAGGCCTCCCAGTTGGGGTCAGAGTAGATGGGGTCGGATGATTGCACCGCATCGCCGATGCATCGGCAGTGCGGCTCGATGGGGAGTCCGATTTTCTCCACGTCGACGGCGCCGAGGCATCGCCGATGCATCTTGGATACGGGTTGACCCTCCGACTCTGATGACTCTGAGCCCATCTGAGAGGCCTCCAGCAGGGGAAGAAGTTCAGGGGAGCAAGGGGACATGGGAATGACACGCTCCAAGATGTCCGAGAATCTTCCAGGATGTGCTGCTGCTCCATCTGGGTTGTAGAAGCGAGGGCCGCTAGATATCCAGGAAATCCTGGAACGCATTCAGCGACAATCCTAGCAGGGCATCGTCGTCGTCCCAGCGAGGGAGTCAGGCTTCGAAAGTTCTGGCCGCGAGGCGCGACAGCTGGCCTCTCCGCGCCCATCCCTCCGCGCGGCGATGGATGCGGGAAGAAGCGGGGTCTTCGTCGAAGCCCGATGTTGGAGGGGGGCCTTCCGAAACAACGGCGGCCTTTCTTGTTGTTTTTCGCCCCTCCTGGGCTTCCTGGAGGCTTCTCGTCGCCACAGCTGGATCCGCCCCGAACAATGGGTCAGGATGGACTTGGGATGTGTCTGGAGACCCGATTCGCGCGGATTTGGACTTGGCCGCCACTGTCTCCATTGGCCCTCCTCCGACGATGCTCGTGCACGTGGTCCACAAGTTGGCGCGTTTGTCGCATGCACCGTTGTTGCCACTTGGCTTGTGCGTTCTGCGGTTTGGGGTGCAGTCTCGCCATCGACCTACCGCGTCGGTGTTTCCCGCAGGCATGCCACACCCTCGAGGGGGAATTCGTCGAAGCTCTATGCTCGCGTACGTGATCCGCAAGCGGGCGTGTTTGCCGCATGCACTGTGTGTACGTCGCTTGCATGCGTAGGGTGGGGGGACATACCCATCGGTTTGATTTCTTTTTTCGTCAAGGCGGAGGCTGTGGGGGGGGATGGAGTCCCGCCACGCTCTGAAGTTAATCTTGATCGAACTGAACGTCCCATTCGGGGACAGGAGGAGGTGTGTGGGGATGAGGAGACGGTGGCTGGGCTTGTGCGCAGTGCGGGGAGAAGTTGTTTCGCTCACCGCCACCCCGAACCAGCGAGGGCCCAGGGGTGATCGACCTTCTGGTGATGTGCAGGGCTTCTCTGGCAGGGTGTGCTCATTTGCTGCGCCGCGTTGGCTTCCCACTGCTTGCTGTTTTCGGCGGGGTGGAGTCCCGCCACGCTCTGCCTTGAGCGATCTTATCCTTTCATGCGGGGGCAGGATGAGGTGTGTGGGGAATGAGGAGACGGTGGCTGGGTTAGGACACAGTGCGGGTAGGAGTTGTTTCGCTCACCGCCACCCCGAACCAGCGAGGGCCCGGGGGTGATCGACCTTCTCGTGATGTGCAGGGCTTCTCTGGCAGGGTGTGCTCATTTGCTGCGCCGCGTTGGCTTCCCACGGCATGTCTCGGCCGTTTTCCAGCGGCTGGCCATGTTGTCGCCGTGCCCGTGTGGCTTGTTCTCCTCACCAGGTGGAGTCGAATCATTGGGTTTCTGAGGAGGGATTTCTTATCGAGTTGTTTTGATCCCTGGCCATTCAGCGACCACGTGTCATCCTATAGGGATTTCAGGGAAAGCGAGGGTGGAATTCGCATCGAGTTGCTATGATCTCTGACCGTTCATCGATTTCGCCCTTCCGCGCGGCGATGGATGCGGGAAGAAGCGGGGTCTTCGTCGAAGCCCGATGTCGGAGGGAGGCCAGTCGAAACAACGGCGGCCCTTCCTGTCGTCGCTGTCGTCTCTCGCCCCTCCTGGGCTTCCTGGAGGCTTCTCGTCGCCACAGCTGATGCCGCCCCGAACAATGGGTCAGGATGGACTTGGGATGGGTCTGGAGACCCGATTCGCGTGGATTTGGACTTGGCCGCCGCTGTCTCCATTGGCCCTCCTCCGACGATGCTCGTGCACGTGGTCCACAAGCTGGCGCGTTTGCCACATGCACCGTTGCCAGTTGGCTTGTGCGTTCTGCGGTTTGGGGTGCAGTCTCGCCATCGACCTACCGCGTCGGTGGTTCCCGCAGCCATGCCACACCCTCGACGGGGAACTCGGCCTTCCAGTCGGGGACAGGAGGAGGTGTGGTGGAAGAGGGGCTTGGCTACGCGCGTGGGAAGCTGACATATTGCTGCGGCTTCCATGCGGATGAATCAAATTACCAGATGGTGTCCACACAGCTTTGACGATCCTCGTCGAAGTCCTATGCTCATACATGTGGTCCACGAGTTGACGTGTTTGCCTTATGTACTGTTACTACGTTAGGGTGGGATGACATACCCATCAGTTTGATTTCTTGTTCGTCAAGGCGGAGGCTGCGGTGGGGTGGAGTCCCGCCGCGCTCTGCCTTGAGCGATCTTAACCTTTCATGCGGGGGCAGGAGGAGGTGTGTGGGGAATGAGGAGACGGTGGCTGGGTTAGGACACAGTGCGGGTAGGAGTTGTTTCGCTCACCGCCACCCCGAACCAGCGAGGGCCCGGGGGTGATCGACCTTCTGGTGATGTGCAGGGCTTCTCTGGCAGGGTGTGCTCATTTGCTGCGCCGCGTTGGCCTCCCACGGCTTGTTGTTTTCGGCGGCCGTCTTGGTTGACGCCGCGTCCATGTGGCTGATTTTCTTCACCAGGTGGAGTCGAATCATAGGGTTTCTGGGGAGGGATTTCTGATTGAGCTGCTCGAATCTCTGGCCATTCAGCGACCACGTGTCATCGTATGAAGGTTGCCGCCTTCGCGCAGGAAATGGGTGACGTCTGGGACGCGGCCTAGTTTGGCGGGGATCGCATGCGGCTACAGGCGGTGACTCTACGGCTTCCCATCCCGTGTGAGCGACGCCACAAAAGGGGCCGTCTGCGCCGACATTGGCGCGTAAGCTGCCCCTGCCCGCGTAAGGCCGCGCGTAAGCGCCCTCGTTCCCCACGAGGTGTGCCGCGCTGGCGGCCCGCGTAAGCCGCACGTGAGGTCGCTGTGCCATCTCGCGTAAGACCCGTTTTTGATCGGCGCTCATGTCTCCCTCCCTCTCCTTGTAGGAATGGTCGTGAAGCACCGTTTTGTTCAAGAGACCGTCTTAGGGCAAGGCACTCAAGCTCGTTCAACGGGGGTGCCTTGTCGTGATGTCGCCCGCTCCCTACCCTCCCTCTCAAACTGCGCAGGAACAATATCAGGAGCGGAACAAAACACTGACACGATGAATCTTCGATTCCATGGGGGGGATCGAGGAGGAGGAGGAGGAGGAGGAGGAGGAGGAGGAGGAGGAGGGGTAGGAGGAGGAGAAGGAGTAAGAGGAGGGGTAGAGGAGGAGGAGGAGGAGGAGGGGGAGGAGGGGAGGAGGAGGAGGAGGAGGAGGAGGAGCGGAACAAAACACTGACACGATTTGGGAATCCTTGGATTTGTTTGTATTTTTGCTAAGGCCTCGGCCCTCGAGGGTAGCAGGACCCCCTCCCCGGGTCCCCCCCCTGGTCTTCGCCCGGGACCCCCCCCCCTCCCCCGGCGAGGGGAAAGGACAGGGACGATGTGATTACCACGTTCGATTTTCTCTCCCGTTGAGACGACGACGACGACGACGACGACGACGACCAAGGGATCCCCCCCCCTCCCCCGGCGAGGGGAAAGGACAGGGAAGGGCTTCCCTGCGATGTGAATACCACGTTTGATTTTTTGTTCCCGTTGCGACGACGACGACGACGCGACGACGACGACGACGACGACGACGACGACGACGACGACGACGACAACGATCACGACGACGATGACGACGACGACGAGCGGCACAGTCCCTGTCACGCGCCGAGCAAGGTCGGCGGATTGGTGTGTCCTGGGGCCCCTTTATACATGTTCCACCCCCTCTCCTCAACGTCGCGCCGGAGAGAAGAGCGGCGGCAGGTTATGGGGTGTGCTACGAGCCTTGGTTGGCGGCGCGCACAGGGAGGTAGGCGGTAGGGGGCGGGGGGAAGGCTCTTTCGAATTAGGCTGCTTCTTTGAAGGCGCGGGCCTTGTCTGGAAGTCTGCAGATGCAGGGCCGGCGCATTCGAAGAAGCAGCCTCCGAAGAAGCCATCCCCTCCCCCTATGCCCCCGCGCCGCCCAAGAAGGGCCAAGGCAGGCCGTGGGGTGTGCCACGAGGCACCTCCGCGCTCCTTCTGCCCGAGCCTGCTGGGGAGCAGGGGATGATCTGGCGGCGCGCACGAGGGTGCAGGGTGTCGGGTGGCGGCCTCGTCAAGAGGGCAGGAAGGGGGGGGCTTCTGTGACTGTGAGGGCAGGGGCCTTTCCTTCGAGGAAGCCTCCTGCGAAGGCCGGGGCCTTCGCATCGGAAAGGGAGGGCGTGCCCATGCCGCTACACCCTTCCATCGTCCCCCCACTCTTGGGCTCCCTAGGAGGCCCTCGTCGCCCCCGCGGGATGCCCCTCGAGATCCACGTCAGAACGCACCCCAGGAGAGGTCACGAGGAGTAGCGGCAGCGGCATTTGGTGGTTTCCCCAGAGAAGTTTCTTGAGAAGGTAGGGGCCTTCTCAGAGGCCTCCTAGTTGGGCAGGGGCCTTCTTGACCCCCGCCTTCTAAGAAGCGCGCCGCCCTTGTCGAAGGCCAGCCCCCTCGCGTCATCCCCGTGTGCGCGCCGCCAATCACCACCCACCAAACCACCCCAACCCAACCCGAAGGCTCAGATTTACCCTCGATTTCTAGTGGGGGGGTTCCGGGAACATCGAAAAAACACAGATGGAGCCCATACCCCCCCCAACCCGAAATTCGGGTCTTCGGGTTGGGT